TTATCTAGTGCTTCCAATTCTACCAATTTCTCTTATCCATTTTTAATGGGACCAAAAACACGTAACAGAACATAAAATAACCTATATATATAGCATATATAATTAACATATAACGTTAATTATATATGCTATACTAAATGCTAATTTGGTTATGTTTAGGCTAAAATTATTTTTTTTAAAAATCCCTAAATCCATTACCTCTGATTTGATTGTTCCAAAATGATGAGGAAGAGGTAACAAGGAGAATAAAATATTGATAGAGGCCCTTCTTAGTTCCGTAGGATTCACATATGTTTTAAATTTTGAGAGTTCCCTGGATAAAAAAATAAGAAAATGATAGTTTTTCAACCTATCATTTCTATTTCAAAACAAAAATATCCTGTTTAGGTGTGCAGTTGTAGCATTTAATGTCTGTACAAGATTCACCAGAATGTCATAGTTTGCTGGTAGAAGAGCCCAACGCATTCATTTTAATGGAAAAATCTGTAGGCAGAAAACGCTGGAATTCTTATTCAGCTTGAATACAGGTTATTACATGTGATTTATATCTGAGGTCAAGAGCAAGATGTTTCTGTGTTGATATACTCAGTGTTCTACCTCAGAAGATGTCAAGGTTTTAGATGGGTGGGCTGCATAAGACCTTTTGAATAACTGAGCATTTTAGTCAAGTATCAGTTATGAAGCAGTACATTGTAGACAGAAGGTCCTGGTTTTAATTCCTGGCATCTCTGAAATCCTAGATAGTTGCTGCAAGATAGCATTAATAATACTGGGACAGATGCACCAATGCTTATTGCTATGCTTCTATGAATGATGTAAAGGTAATTTTACTGTCAAAACTATCAGATTTATTTTTTAATTTTATAACATGGATAAAGAAGCCATATACATAGGACAATCCTTTCTTTAATAAGTCTGCTTTAAAAGCAGTGCAACTATATGTTTGCCAATTGTAACTAATATAATAATGTAAGCTACATGTTCAAATACGTGTTTCTCAGAAATAAAAGTTATTTACTTTGGCTCTCTACGAAAGCTATATGATAAACATCAATAACTAATAATTGAAACAGATAGAAAAATATTATCTAGTGCTTCCAATTCTACCAATTTCTCTTATCCATTTTTAATGGGACCAAAAACACATAACAGAACATAAAATAACCTATATTTTTAGTAAATATTCATATAACGTTAATTATATATGCTATGCTATAAGACATCCAGAACATAACAAACTGCATCAATAGTCTTTCCCTTCCATTTTGCCCTTTGATCTGAGTTGATATTCTTAAAAATATAGAACAGCCTTCCTCAACCAGATACCTTCCAGATCTGTTGAGGCTGCAGCTTCTAGAATTCCCTGACAGCACAGCAATCCCATCTATCTGATTCTGAAAATATTCAGCAGTTTAAAAAGTAATATGAATGTTATCAATTCACCTGTCAGGTAAGATAGTTTCAAGTGCTGAAATGAAGTAAGGAACCAAGACATCAATCCCCTTCAGGTCACAGCAGAACAAGGCAGGGGAGTTTAAGATGACACTAGCCAGAACTGGGTGACAAACAGAATCAGCTATCTGCAGTCCCTGAATTAAAAGCATGTAAAACCTGGCAGAAAAAAAAAAGTATAAAGAGGTATATGAAAGAAGCATTAGCAAGCTAAGGTTGTTTTAGATGGTCAACAGCAAAGGCAAATCTGGCATTTATAGTGAGGCATTAAAGTATCTGCTACATTCTCTGATTCAAACAAAAAGCTAGATTGAAAAATTATCATGCTGTTCAGTCTTGCAGATGTTTTAATTAGTTATGCTGAACAAAAATTAGTTATTTGTTGCATTTATATCCCACCTTTATTCTGTGCTCAAGGCAGTTTATGTGGGGTCTCTCTAATGTTATCTATATAACATCTATGAGAGGTTGGGCTGAGAGAGAATGACTGGCCCAAGTCACATCCAGTGAGCTCCCTAGCAGAATGGAGATTTGCATCCGGGACTTCCTGGTCCTAGCTGAAAACTTAACCACTAGGGCTACCCTGCAATTACTATCCTGGGATGGCATGGACATCTTTCCAACAGCACATGTAAATTAACCATTTAAACCCAAAGGAATATGTCTATTTAGGTTGCTGCACATGCATGACCTATGTTTAGATTGTTAAACTAAACTGTAGTGTAGATTCATGAGATCTGAAGTAGTTTACTGATCAGCAATATGAAGGAACAATTTAAAATACAACGTTCTCTTTACACAAAAAGACTATTTGATTCAGGGGCTGACTTTTTATACTTCTGTCGCTCCCTGTAAAACAAGACTCTCCTCACTTAGCTATGTGCAGAATTACATGTTACAAATAAGGCAAAAACACCATTACAATTGGCATCCCATGAATGAGAGGTTTTCCTCTCCCCTATAGGTTACATATAATGTTATTATGTTACCTGTTTTCTCACCTACAATAACCAATGATGCCAAATGTATAAACAGGATAGTAGTTACAATATGCTACTATACATTACAGAAGAACAATGGGAAAAACTCAGTATTCATTTGCTTTTACTAGCCATAACCACGTCATCTGAAACTGTTTCACATTTCAAATAAACATTCTTTCTTGCAAATGATTACAAGGGTTTTTGCCAAATAACTGAAGAATTGCTATTTCCCCTATTGTGTCACTATTACATCCTCCTCATATTAAAATTTTCCTAAAGTGGTTTGGAAAGCATATAATGAAGAAAACAATGCTGTATTTTGTTTGCCTAAAAAAAGATGGAATCCAGGATATTGTGTTTTTATATACTTATATGTCAAAGATAATATTCTTTGAATCTCAGTTGAATACCTAATATCTGAGGCATCCAAAATGTAAGAAGTTGAAAAAACCTTCATATGTAACACAAGTATATAACAGAATATTTGAACAATTCAAAACATAAATCAGTACCGGGATAAGTAGGCTGGCAGTATATCTTCTCCGGTTTTCTTGCTACAAAATATTCTACAAAGTGTTCCACATGCCTCTGCTCTGCCAGATTCATAGTTGTCAGAAAATTCACCTGCATCAAATATAGGATTGGAAGCCATAGTCTCTGCAGACATTTGTGAACCTTTCCGGCGAAACTCCATATTAGCTTGTGTTGCTATAGCTAAAACAAAAAGAAGCACAGAGTTTTATTACATTTGCAAGTATATCCAATAGGCTCATGGGATCCTGGACACAAAGATCATGTCAAATTTAGTAATCATAAAAACCATTAGTTTACTGCATTTGCATTGCTGCCTCTGTTTATAAAGCATTTAGGGACTATGACTTTTGTAAGAAAATTATTTCCTTTCATCTTCACACACAAGCAAATCATCTCCCTCAGCAATCCATGCTACCCAAGCACAGAAGCCTCTGTTCCATTCACATTCTCAGCCAGATGCATCAACAAAAAGCCCCTGAAACTTGTTTTACAACGTCATTAATTTTCCTTACCCACTGTATAAATCCTTTATGTTCTCAAAAACTGGACCTCACCTTTTAACTATCCAGCAAGCTCCTGGGTCCCCTATTCTGGAACTAGAAGTAAGGATACAGGCAGACGCCAAATTCCAAATCATGTCTATGGAAAATATTGCTTCAAAAAAGCCAAGAGATGTATTACTATAGCATCAGAGGAAATGCTCAGAAAGAAATGCCCTCCATACTCTTCTCAAGCTTTTTCACTTTTCTCCTGCAGTTCTTTCATCTTCATCAGGCCTGCTTGCCAGAACTATCACTCAGAGTCGCTTTATGAGATACACAAGGGATGGTATGGCAAAAGTGACCTGAGTGCAGAGATGGAAATTCCTGCATGCTTATGAAACTTTTGGTGGCATGGATTAAGGAAAAAATCCAATATATTTTAAAATACATTAGGAGGCTACAAACAGTTCACTCTTCACTTCCTGTGCCTATATTTTTCCCAGCAATCACCAAGCTTATTACATTCACAAACCTCTACTGTCATTGATGCTCTATTCAAACATGTAACTGTTCGGTTTCTTCCAGCTGTCAGCCAGAATGCCCCTTACACAATTCCTCTTTTCCACAAATGAGAACTGTTAGGTGGATTTCTAGCAGATATGAACAGTTTAAGATCATGCAGATGGATGCTCACAACAAAAGTAATTCCAGTACTAGAAAAGCAACTGTTAATCCAATTCTACCTTATTAGGGGAATGGAAAAGAGATGTTTTACAGCCTAATCCTATACAGGCTTATTCAGAAGTCTCACTGAATTCAAAGTTCAGAGTTACCTCAAGAAATATGCATAGGATGCAACCTATGTCAACTATAGTCTTACAAACAGAAGCTCTGCTCAAGTGCTGAATGTTTATTACTAATAGATTAGTAATTTAGAAAAAGCAGGTTAAGATCAATTTTACTGTCTTTTTAAAAAGTAATTTCTTCACTAATTTTATTTTGGCAGAAGTAACTAAACCCAAATCTTTATGCGTCTTCCCATGAGCCATTTTTGTCCTGTAGAAGCTATCCAGCAAAATGTTATATTAGGGGGAAATAAAACTACATGCAGAATGCATACAAATCAAAACACTAGATCTGTGTAAAAGAAGCTTTATGGGAAAAAAAACATGGTTAGTGCAAAGTCCTATAATTCATGACACGAACACAGACTAGAGTACAGAAAATGATGGGACTGATTTCAGGCAGATTTGCTTTTGCCAACAATCTTCCCCGCTTAAAAAAGCACACACAGCTATTTGTCTTTCCATGTAAAGAGCAAAAGCTACAAGGGTTGACAATGATACAAATTAAAAAAATGGGATTATGAAAAAAAAGAAAAGAAAAAGAAAAAACATGACTGCAATTAAAGAGAAGCTACTAGTTCCTACTTACAAGATTTATAAGAAAGAAGAATTTGGATAAAAGATGCTGCAAGATAATAGAAATAAAATGGAAATAAATCAAAGGACAGCAATAGTTATAAAATACTTTAAAATGATGAAACTGTAATAACAAGTTAAGTAGTGTTTAGGGTTTTGAAACACAGATTAAAAGCTTATGATCTAGCAGGCTTGTTAAACATATAGGAAATTAGTGTTACGGTTCAAAATTATGACTGCATGCAGAACTCTAAACGGTTTAAAATATTGTCATGGGTTTCATATATTGTACATTTAGTTTTACCGTACTATTCAGACAGCGTTTTGCTTTAATTCATATATCAGCAACTGAAAACCTACACTACAAGGAAATCATAAAGAGATGGGAAGAAAGAAAATTTACTATCTATATATCTCACATCAGATCAGTCTCTTTATTTGCAGTTTCCATAGGGATGGCAAAACACCTTAGTGATCACCCAAACCCTTTCTTCAGGGGGAAAAAAAAAGCAATAGAATTTTTTATTCAAGGTTACCTGCACTTTGTGGAAAAGTGAAAGGTGAAAGAATGACAAATCATCTGGGAAACAAACAGACCAGGAAGGGTTTCAGAAGAAATCCCTTTTAATGTAAAAGGTAGTTAAACATCTTGTTTTGCCCTGAGGATCACACTGGAATTAATTAATTTGTAACTACGAAGATTTGTATGGGAATAGGAATGTATTGTTTGCTTTAAATTAAAACTAAAACCAATTCAATCATTATTTGAGTGCTGTGGAGATATATTTGCATAAAGTAGTCCCTGCATAAATCAAGGCAGAATTAATTATGCCATCACACCCACTGATAAAACAAAAATGTCCCCAACCTTAGAAAAGCCACTTCTCATATCGTTTATTACTAACACAGCAATCACACATCTTAGATAAAATGTAAACTGGCATCTAATTTCTCTGCATTGTACCAAAAGCTTGAAGAGCTGAATAAGGACTTAATTGAGAACAACTGAGGCAAGAAGAGGACTTTTCAAGCTTTCTCTTCAAGGGTTCTGCAATCTGTAGCTGCTATCAACAAGCATGCCTTTTGCACATTCGTTATCCTACTTCAAAGGCACTTTTTAAGTAACCCTGTACCCATCCTCATGTTGGCATTTTTTGCCACAGCTTGTGTTCAGATTCAAGACTCTCTGAAAACAGGAATTTCCAGCAACCTATTTGATTGGTTTTCTAGTCTTCAGTGGAGGATTTGAATGACATGTCTTGAAGCAAAAATAACAGAAAGAATGTTCCTTCCACAAAGTGCATGTTTGTGCAAAGGACTACCTTCAGCAGTGCTTCAAAGTAATTAAATACTGAACTCAAATTCCAATACGCTGGCTATGCAAGTTATCCTCTACAACAGAGCAACTACAACACAGAAACAACCTCTCACCAAGTCAAAAGATTAGAGTAATGAAATGTTTCTGTTTTAAAGAGAAAAGAGAATGTTAAAATATTTAATGTATTTATTTTTTATTTATCATATTTATATAGCTGCCCATCTCACATAAAGTGACATAAATATACCATACAAACAAATGTAGCAAGCAAAGCTACAAAACAAAAAGGAGAAGAACAGGGGAAAATCGTTCTGAAATTAGACTCAGAAATTGATGTGGGTCTTCATTAGTTTCTACTGTATAACTTGTAGTAAAGCCTACACAGAACAGGCATATGACACTTGAGTGCTGAGAAATTACAAAAAAGACAGACATTCCTTAATTTCTTTACAATATCTCCTTGAGGAGCCAGCAATTCCCCTCTTGTCTAATAACCATTAATTATTCACTCAGTTATTGCAACACTTCTGAGTTTGTCTACCACTTCATTAAAGCAAACAGATCACACTATCCAGTTAGTCCAGTTTTTGTGTACTTTAATTTAGCAGCAGCTCTGTAGTTTTAAGCAGAATTTTTTCTCATATATCTAAAATACACATACACTCACACACACACAAACATATACAAATATGAACCTAAGAATGTCTGAAGCCAAAGACATCCAATGTCTTCAATTTTACATTGAATACATTTTAAAACAAATGAAAGAGATTACAATCTGAAGGAAAAAATACAGTAGGAAAGAATAGATCATACATTATTGCTCAGTGCCATTCAGCATCAAGGAATGTACAACAGAAAAATGGAGGATGCATACCAATTTATTATTATCCTTTTGTTTTCAAATACTCTTGTTAACATGTACACTTGAATTCAACTGTATATTCAGTTAAACTGGAATGTAGAGCTTGTTTGCAACAGCAAGGTAGCCACACAATACAGTAGATATACTTTGACAAAACTTGGGAAAATTAGTTCACTGACCTAGATTATATGGGGAAATAAAACAGCTTTATTTTACTACAGGTAGTCCTCACTTACTGACCATTTGTTCAGTGACTGTTCAAAGTTACGACAGTGCTAAAAAATAACTTTAAGGCCCATTTATGACCTTTGCAGCGTCCCTCAGTCATGTGATTGCCATTAAAGTCAGTACACGTTGTCCTGTGACTGACCTGAAGTTTTTTCTTTCTTTCCCTCCTTGCAGAGCAGAGAGATTGGAGAGAGGGATTGCAAGAAAGTAAGTTGTTTGCTCTTCTACACATCGAAAGCAATGCGATTGCACCAACAGCCCGGGGCTGAGAGCTGCAGGAGTGCTATACAAACAGCTTACAGTACTCTCTTGAAATCTCTTTCTCTCCAATCTCTCCTCTTTGTGGAGTAGGGGTGGGGGGGAGAGAAAAAAAGCAAGCAATTTCTGTAGGTGACCTCTCCTTTGCCGGATCCTTTCCCACTGCCGGCACAATTGCATTGCTCTCAGTGGGTAGAAGAGCAAACACCTTACTCTCTTGAAATCCCTCTCCGATCTCTCTGCTCTGTAAGGGAGGGGGAGATGGTCAGGCAAAGGAGAGATTGCCAACAGATATTGCTTGCTTTTTTTCTCACCCCCCTACAAAGCAGAGAGATTGGAGACAAAGGGATTTCAAGAGAGTAAGTTGTTTGTGTAGGGTGCCCATAGCTCCCAGCCCTGGGCTGGGTGCAATCGCATTGCTTTCGATCTGTACAAGACAGTAAGCAGGCACTCGAGCATTCCAAAGGGTGGGGGAGTGGTTAAGAGGCAAACAAAAGCAGAAGCTGTGAAACTGACTGTCTCTTTCCAGCCAGAAAACACAGTTGTGGTCATGTGATTTCCCACTTAGCAACTGCTTCATTTAGTGGCAGAGTTGTTGGTCCCAATTA